GCCCTCCTGAAGCAAAAGGGTCTCAATAACCCGATTCACAGAGGCGATCCGGGACGTTCGGGTCCCCCGTGAGAGCTTTACAAGGCCGTAAGGCAGTGATGTTGAACGTTTCTTAAACCCAAGCGCCCAAACTGCAATACTAAACTTATTTTCAGCGCTGGCACTTTGCGATAAATAAATTGATTTTACGTCACAGTTCATGCACTCGGTTTCAAAAAGGTTCGCCATCACTGGCCTAGGCTATAAGAAGCTTGCCAAGACCCTGAAACTGAGCTGCAGCACGGTGGCCATTGTGTCTTGCCTACAGTCAAGGATGGTGGTGGGAGTGACATGGTCTGGGGCTGCATGAGTGCTGCCGGCACTGGGGAGCTACAGTTCATTGAAGGAACCATGAATGCCAACATGTACTGTGACATACTGAAGCAGAGCATAATCCCCTCCCTTCGGAGACTGGGCCGCAGGGCAGTATTCCAACATAACGACCCCAAACACACCTCCAAGACGACCACTGCCTTGCTAAAGAAGCTGAGGGTAAAGGTGATGGAATGGCCAAGCATGTCTCCAGACCTAAACCCTATTGAGCATCTGTAGGGCATCCTCAAATGGAAGGTGGAGGAACGCAAGGTCTCTTAACATCCACCAGCTCCGTGATGTTATCATGGAGGAACGGAAGAGGACTCCAGTGGCAACCTGTGAAGCTCTGGTGAACTCCATGCCCAAGAGGGTTTAGGCAGTGCTGGAAAATAATGGTGGCCACACAAAATATTGACACTTTGGGCCCAATTTGGACATTTTCACTTAGGGGTGTACTCACTTTTGTTGCCAGCGGTTTAGACATTAATGGCTGTGTGGAGTTAGTTTGAGGGGACAACAAATGTACACTGATACAAGCTGTACACTCACTACATTGTAGCAAAGTGTCATTTCTTCTGTGTTGTCACATGAAATGATAAAATATTTACAAAAATGTGAGGGGTGTACTCACTTCTGTGAGATACTGTATGTTACAACTTTATCATCACATTTGTTCTTTTAAAAAAAAATAGCTCCCTGCCCTGTTTGACCACAAGAAGCCATGGTTGGGGTCCACCCCCCTCAGACACACTCTTCCTTTTGCAATTGGTACTGGTTCGTTGTTCTGTGTTGTCTCACAGGCTGCTAAGCAGTATCCCAGAGTGATTCTGTTAATGAATACTGTGCTTGTTCTTGTAGCAACTCATGCTGGTTTGCACAAACTATGTATGAACATTGCTAATTTTATGATCATTTGTATCATATAATATTTGTACATCTCTGTGAATCTCTTACTAAAAAAAAAATATATATTTTTTGCTGAAGGTTTTCTACTAATTCATATTTACTGTATTTATCTCTTTTGTAGCTGTTTCTTGATAAATACAGCAGACAGAATAATTCGAGTGTATGATGGACGAGAAATACTTACTTGTGGAAGAGATGGGGAGCCAGAGCCTATGCAAAAACTTCAAGATTTGGTGAACAGGTACAGATTTAGCTGGTGAATGTAAACTTTTTATGAGACCAGTGTTTTGGTATTTAAAAAAGATAATCCACATTTTCCGCAGCCGATTGAAGATGTCTTTTTAGTAACTTTTTAAGTTATGTAAAGTAGGCTATTTAAAAACTTTATGCACATCTAATTTATTATGAAACTATTGAAACCTGTTATAACCTGTGTCTTGTGGGAACTTTTACTTTACTTCCATGACCAGCTGTAGCGTTAAAATAAGAAATCTTAATCCTCTGGCATCACTTTAAATTTAGGAGTTTATATAGAGTGGCAGGATTCACCTTGGAACTAACTGGTTTTCTGCAGTAATTTTGCCATAAAATGTGGTCTGCTCCTTGTCTAAATCACAACAATAGACAAACACAATGTGCTTAAGCCAATAACACACAAACAATTTCATGTGTCTTTATTGAACACAACCATTAAACATTCACAGTACTGGAGGAAAAAGGAAGTGAATCATTGGAGTTAAAAGCTGGTCAAACCTCCTTTGTAAATTTAAAAAGTTCAAAGAAAAGTCAATTTTAGAGAGCGCACTTCGGGGTGGGGGGTCTGGGTATCGAAGGCCGCTGCACGGCTTCTGGTGAAATCAGACTGGGGTGTCTGGTGTGTATCCTTGAACAACAAAGAGAGAATCATATCGCTGATGTTATTCTTGCATGAGAGGTGTTGATGTTGGCTTCGGCTCGGGGTTTACGAAGGGTGGAAGGAGTCCTGCAGGATGTTCCGTGATCCCGTTAGGAAGGGGGATCTGTTTGTCCTGAGAGGATCTAAGTTTTAGCTTGTGGCCCGGATGGATGCCTTACTGCTGCTTGTTGTTTGGCTGTGTATGCAGGGAGACTCCTCATTCTCCTTCCCCATCCGTGCTCTCTTCCCTGCAACTCCCCGCCCATACAGCGGCACACACCGCTGCACCTCCACTAACTCCATCTCCAGCTGACCTTTCTCCCCAACATCTCCCTGCCCGCACAGTGGCTCACACTGCTGTACCTTGCCTCACTCTCCTCCTCCAGCTGATCTCTCCCCTCCATCTCCCGCTTCCTGTCCGTAAAGCAGCACACACCCTGCACCATGTCTCACCCTCCTCCTTTCTGGCATCTCTCCCCTCCCCTTTGCCCCTCCAGCAGCACACACCCCTTCACCATACCAGCCTTCAACAGACCCAACCCATCTACAGCTGTACTTACACCAGATCAATAGTAAACTTCCTACATCAGCTCATCCACAATGCCCATTAAATGTTGGATCCCGTGAGATCATCCTGGACTTCTTAGAACAACCCATCCCTAATATCTACACAGGCCACTAAGGGCCTGTTCACATGAATTTCAGGTCCAGATCAGGTGCGGATCTGCAGATGTGGTGCTATGTGTTTTTGATGCGTTCCAGTTAAAAAAAAAAAAAAATAATGTTTTTTTTTTTTTTTTTGCTGGAGTGGGGCTGTCAGTATGTTAGCTGCGGTGTGTTTTTGATGCGTTTTCCGTTTTCTGACCGTACAAAATGTGACATGAGGTATTTTTCTGTCGTAACCTGAACGGACTGCGCACGTGAGAACTGTAGCCCATAAAACACATAGGGATACATTGGGATGCATTTTTAGAGCAGGAGCGTACGGATCAAGTCAGCACAGAAAACAGACGTCGTGTGAATAGGCCCTAAAAGTAAATCGGCCCCACCGTAATCGCCAACCGAACAACATCAGCAGTGACGCATCCACCCGGACCACAAGCTAAAGCTTAGATCCTCTCAGGACAAATGGATCCCCCTTCCCAACGGAATCACGGAACATCCTGCAGGACTCCTTCTGTCCTTTATGAACACCGAGGAGAAGCTAACATTAACACCTCTTGCGCAAGAATATCATCATCAGCTGTGAGGGTGAGTGTACATGTTTTTTCTTTTCCATTGCAACATCAAGTTACACACACTGCCTGCTCTATTTGTTTGCTTTTCCTCTTATAATTTGGTACTGGATCCTTCTTCCCCACTTGGCGGACCAATCTTAGTCCCTTGCAGCCACTGGATGACCCACTTAACACCACGCCACTCCTCATGGTCACAAACTGCTGAGCTTCCTTCAAACCCCCGCCACATGTGAGTGCATATCAGTGAATATTGTGTTGCCCCTTTAAAACCCCACCTTATTGCACTTATTGCAGGTTGTGGCACTCCGGTTCTTTCTCTTTGTTTTTCCAAACCTCCTTTGGCAGCAATCACTTCAAGCAAGCGCTTTCGGTAGCTCTAGATCAGGCCTGCACAACGTTCAGGAGGAATTATTGACCATTCCTCTTTACAAAACTTCAGCTCAGACACATTTGTAGGATGTCTGTGTGAACGACTCTCTTGAGGTCATTCCACAGCATCTCTATGGGGTTAACATCTGGGCTCCCACTGGGCCACTCCAAAAGATGCATTTTCTTTTTCTGAAGACAGTCTGTGGTGGATTTACTTAGATTCTTAGGGTCATTCTCCTTCAGCATCACCCAACTTCTACTAAGCTTCAGCTGGCAAACAGCCACCCTGACATTATCCTGTAAGATAGTTTGGTAAACTTGGGAATTCATCATCCCCTTGATGATGGCAAGTGGTCCAGGCCCCGAGGCAGCAAAGCAAGCCCAAATCATGATGTTCCCTCCTCCATACTCCATAGTTGGGATGTTTTGATGTTGGTACGCTGTGCCTTTTTTGCGCCATATATAGCGCTGAGGATTCTTTCCGAACAAATAAACTTTTGTTTCAGCAGTCCACAAAACATTTTCCCAGTAGAGTTGTGGTTTGCCAAGGTGCTCTTTGGCAAACTTCAGGTGGGCAGCAATGTTTTCTTTGGGAGAGCAGCGGCTTACTTTGCGGTGTTTTGCAATGGTTATGTATGGTAGACACATGAACAGGGATGTTTCACAGTTCCAGTTATGTCTTTAAGCCTTAGCTGTTACTCATGGGTTCTTCTTTTACTCCTTGAGGATTCTGCATTGTGCCTTGGGAGTAGGGATGCACAGATACCAGTGGCGATACTTGGCATTTTCACGAGAACTTACTAGGGTTGCAACGGTTGCAGCTGCGACTGGGCCCCGGCGCTCCACCACTGTCCTGAAATCATTAGTCTGTATTGTTTTAGAAAAACTGTCACATGACAGTAAAAAAAAAAGGTAAAAAAAAATCGGTGCATCCCATGAGCCCCGTAGCCAATGCTCCTTTAAAAATGACAGCTGCCTCCTAACTTTTGAGTTTTTCTCTAGCCTAGTCTTGGAGCTGGAAAAAGATCAATACTTATACCTGTACCAAGTACGGTACTTGGTATCTGATGGGAGTCATCCTGGCTAGGCGCTAACTTCTAGGAAGAGTAGCCACACTACTAAACTGTCTCAGTTCATAGACAATTTGTCTGTCGACTGAGGTTGCTTTGTATCCTTTTCCAGCCTTATGCAAATCAGCTACTCTTGATCACATGTCTTCAGAGAGCTCCTTTTAGCGAGACATGTTTCACATCAGTTGATGCTTCTTTTGAACAGCAATCTCAAAATGTTTGAAGGTCTTATCAAAGTAGCTCTTAACCACACCTCCAAACTCATTTCATTAATTGGACTCCAGGTATGCAAGCTACTGACTCCATTTAGCTTTTGTTTAAGTAATTAGTCTATGGGTTCACTTACATTTTCCTCCAGCACTGTGAATGTTTAATGGGTGTGTTCAGTAAAGGCACGAGAAATTAGAATTGTTTGTGTGTTCAGCTTAAACACACCGAGGGGAATTTATCAAACCCGGAGCAACTGTGCATGGCAACCAATCGGCTTCTCTCTTCAGTTTGCTCAGTTAAGATTTGATAATTAAAAAGAGAAGCCGATTTGCTTGTCATTCACAACTGCTCCAGATTTTGTCTGTTCCAGTTTTGATGTATTCCCCTCATTGTGTTTGTCTATTGTTGTGACTTGGATGAGGATCAGATTACATTTTATGGGAAATTAAGGCAGAAAACTATTTAATTCCAAGGGGTTCACATACTTTTTTCTTGCCATTGTACCACATATTGATTACAAAAGAGAAAGATGAGGTACCAGGCAACCATCTTAAAAGTGCATGAGAACAGCAATGGACCCATAGTTATGCCAACTGACAGCAGGAGTCTAGTTTAAAATAAAACTATAAGCAAAATAATAAAAGACTTATACTGTATTTCACAATTTGTCAATCGCATTAATACAACCCTGTAACTTAGTTTTATTACCTGCTAATCCTGCCAGTAGATGTATATATTATTTGCTTTCTTAAACAGACCAAGCTGTTCTCCAAAATTGGAAGTTGAAAGGGTTAGGACTAGGGCTGGTAATGATTAAAATTTTCCTGTTCGATTAATCGAAATTTTTTTAAATCTATTAATTTTGATTAATTATAACGCACATACAGATCCAACTACATTGGCCTATACACATACAGCACAGCAATGAAGTCATAAAATGAACTAGTATCACACTAATCCAGCACGTTATTAATCTCACGTGCCCCACTCAATATGGCCACCGCTTGAGTGAGGCAACTCAGAATAATAACGTGCTGGATTACGGTGATCCTAGTTAATTTTATTACTTAATTAATTGCTGTGCTGTATGTGTATAGGTCAATGCCAGGGATCCCAACCTGAAATAAGCAATTTCAGGGAGGTGTCCCT